ATGATGATGGTGGTGACGATGGTGATGATGTTGTTGATGATGATGACGATGACGATGATGATGATTCTGATGATGAGCATGATGGTGATGGTGATGGTGATGCTGATGATGAGGTTGATGTTACTGTCGATGATGATGCGGATGATATGCTGAGCATGATGATAATGATGATAAATATGATGATGATGAAGATACTGTGCTGGTGATGGTAATGAATATGGACATGATGATGATGGTGATGATGATGATGGTGATGCTGTTTATGATTGTGCTGATGGTGATGATTGTGATGATAATGACGATGATGACGATGATGACGCGATGACGATGATAACGATGATGAAGACGATGATGACGATGATGAGGACGAGGATGAGGACTCTGCGGTCAATTGGCCAACGTCAGAGCAACGTAACAAGGAGGATGAGATGAGGATGAGGAGGATGAGGAGGGGGAAATTTTGCCGAATCAATATTTATCGCTGGCGCTCGGACTGAGACAGGAGAGACGGGATAAGGAGTTCAGGGCGTGGGAACGGGGAAGGAAAGGTCGCACCGCCTCCCTCTCCTCCCAAGGCCCCTCCAGAGTCGCCTGCCCGCCACCCGACATCGCCCGCCCCTCCCCTCCGCATGAGGCCGCGGTGGGCGTCGTCGAAGTAGCCCGACATGACCTTCGCACGCACACTCCCGCTGGTGTCAAACTTGCTCCTCATCCTGCTCCTCCTGCTCCTCCTCCTCCTCCTCCTCCTCCTCCTTTTCCTCCTCCTCCTCCTGCTTCTTCACTCCTCCAAAGACTGCCTCAAAGATTGCGCAGTGGTTACCCAGGCTGTGCCCAAGAATGGCCCCCTATTGTGAACTGTGTGAAGCTGTCTACGGCCGTCTGCCGCAAGGATGTCATTTTTGTTTGAACTCCACACGGAGGCTCTGCCTCCCGAGTGGAGGCCTCCAAAGGAAGCAGGAGGCTCGGGGGCTCGGGGAGACGCAAGGCTCGAGCTGTTAGGGAGACTCCAACTCGTTTGACGGGGCTGTGAACAAAAATACGACACTAACATCTGAACCCCCACGCCAGCTCCCCTGAGGGGGGACGTTAGGGGATGGACTGGCTCAAAGGGGATACAGTCAAGACGTGTATGAAGGACGGGTGGTGGGCAAGGACGCAAGACCCTTGGAGGCCGAAAATCGGATTTTTCGGGCGGCGTGCGACCAGTGAAACCGGCAAAAGACGGGCCGCAGAGGCAAGGACACGAGCGCACCCCGGACGAAGGCGCGCGCTCTTCATCGGCGCACATCGCCGACAGATCGGCGACGGGCCCCCGATCGTGAAGCCGCACGCTCCTGGGCGGGGAACGTGCTGTCGGGCCCCCGCCGGCGATGAACAGGCGATTGGGGGTCGATGCGCCCCCCCCCCATTGAGCCAAGGGAGGAGGAGGAGGAGGAGGAGGAGGAGGAGGAGGAGGAGGAGGAGGGAGGAGGAGGAGGGAGGAGGAGGACCTCCTCCTCCTCCTCCTCCTCCTCCTCCTCCTCTCCTCCTCCTCCTCCTCCTCTCCTCCTCCTCCTCCTCCTCCTCCTCCTCCTCCTCCTCCTCCTCCTCTTCCTCCTTGTACTCAAGTGCTAGGTGCACTCTCGCTGGAAGGTTTCAGGGGTTCCAATGGCAATGCGAGCGCGGAGGTGGGGGGACTGGGGGGCCCCTCAGACTGTTCAGAAGGCTCCTCAGAAAGCTCGAGGCCTTCCGAGCCATATCCTCCTCCTCCTCCTCCTCCTCCTCCTCCTCCTACTCTTTCTCCTCCTCCTCCTCCTACTCCTCCTGCTCCTGCTGCTGCTGCTCCACCTCCTCCTCCTCCTCCTTCTTCCACCACGGCAAGAAAACGGCCGCCTGCTTGTCCCCAACGCCCATGCGTCGACTCTAAGTGACAGTGTGCCCTTCGCGTTCGGTGGCGCTGGCACCGGGATACGGCACCATGCCCCTGCGAAGGGCAAGGAGGAGGAGGAGGAGGAGAAGGAGGAGGAGGAGGAGGAGGAGGAGCAGCAGGAGGAGAAAGATGAGGAAGCAGGGAACGTTTTGGGGGAATCGAACCCCTCTTCCCCCTGGCCCCGCCACCTCGCTCCTCGCCCCCCGCCGTCGGGCCCCTCCCCTCGGGGGTCCGCGGCCGGCCAGCCTCTCCCGGGGGAGCGCGCCCGACGGAAGGATCGGCCAGCACCGACGCCGGGGGGCGGACAGGATCGGATCGGGACGTGGGTCGGATCGAGCGGAGACGAGAAGGGGGCGGGCCTTCTCAGTTCTCCGAGGGCTCGGACAGCCTCCGAGCCTTTTGAGAAGCTCCGTGAGCCTTCCCCGAAGACGCAGGAGACTTCTTGCAGGGCACGAGGGCTTCTGACAAGCCGCGCCGCCCTCTGAGAAGGCCTCCTCCTTCTCACTTCTCTCCCCCTGGCTCGCCGCCGAATCGAGTCCAAAGGCCCTCATGCGACCTCCCCCCTGACTCTGGATCCTTTACCCATTCGGT